GATTTGAGGATCTACAGCCGAGTGATACACAACTAAGATATGCTTTTGTTAATAGTTAAGATACTTGAACGCATTTCTAAGATTTTACTCCTGTGTTTAGTTGCCACTTTAATAGTTACTTTGTATGTAGGTTCAGATTTTCTCGAGTTGATGTTTGACTACTATGCACAGATTCCACATCTCACTGCTCCAATTACTGGCTGGCAGAAACTTACAGGGTTATTCACAAAAGGGTGAAGAGTTTGGAGAAGGCAGGAGAAGTGAAAAATCTAGGCCAACATAACTGAACTGGAAAGTGAGCTGAATTGGAGAATTTTTCCAAATCAGTTACTTTGGCCTAAATTGGTCACTTCTCCTGTCTTCTGCAAACTCTTCACCCTTTTGGGAATAGACCTGTTACAATGGATATACTGCAAGTGTCAATATTTCACTCATCTCATGAATAAAAATGAAAATAAAATCCCTTTATGGGTTAATCCTGTATGGCAAAATAAATAATTATAGGATACATGAAAGTTTTACATGGACAAGTATAGAAGAGGTGTAAAGTGAAAACAAAAATGTAGTGAAAAGTTCAGAAGAGACGAGTAGAGCAATAGAAAATAGGTTAGAGGAGGAATTAATTGTGCCAAAGCTTCTATCTGCACATACAGAACAGTGACGTTGTTTTTTGGCTTGTTACTAAGTACTCCAAACATTTTAAAATATTGTTCTGGAAGATGTATTATTTGGTAAACAATGTTAGTTTTGATATACTTATTTGACTTTTATTATGGTTTAAAGAAGAACTCCAGGAAATGTAACAATTAAAGTGACACTAAACTCTGTAATTCATGCTGACACTGTCCTTCCTTCTGGAGGGTGGCTACTTTTGCTCCCCATAGGCCCTGTTTGTTTTGTAAAGTAGTCACCACCCAAAGCTCACTCCTGTGATGGCTAACTTGTATTGAAATTATAGTCTAAACGTGAGATTGTAATCCATCACAGGAGCAAGCTTGGAGCAGTTTACAACACACACAGAGACCATGAGGAACACAAATATGAGATTATAGTCTACCACGGGAGCCAGCTACCCCTGCACTGAAAGTGTTAACTGCCTGTTCTGGTCTAGGTGATAAAATAAAGAAAATATGCTAACCTGATCCTTGGTCCTGAGGCGGTAACGGCTCACTTCTCTCCCCCTCCACTCCGGCGGTGGAATGTCCCTCGGCATCCGCATGTCTAATGCAGCTGCATGATGTCACGGGTCCTTACACTACCAGAGACCGATGGGAGAAGAGGCTGCGGGGACCAGTCTAGCAGCCAAGCAGGACCGAGGATCAGGTGAGTATATTATCTTTATTTTAGCCCCTACCCCCTGCATTGCAAAAGTTCATGTTTTCATTTCCTGGCGTTGTCCTTTAAAGCCCACCAGTTAACTATTATATGAAATTCAGACCGCGCACGCACTTGTTGCATGTGATTTCTCGCAATATCTATATATACATTTGTACTTATAGAAAGGGTTATGTGCATCTCGAATTGGATTAATTAGCTACTTAAAAATGATGCTGCCTATACTTTCAGGCAGCAGAATGCAACTTGTGTTTAGGGCAGCTGGGACAAGAATGAACTATTTTACATCAATTATCCTGTATAAACACACATATGCTGTCATATACTTCTATACAGTATTAAAGCCAAGTACCATTAGTATGGGGATTTCTCCTGCCCAGAGGGATCCCACCCCACCACACTCCTTGGTTTTTGTTTTATATCCTTCCTTCAGCACACACACATCATTTTGTAGTATGTATTCCAGCACTGAGGCTTCTTGCACCAATTTATCTTCACACTCTCATTGGGTATATTGCCATCTCCCTTTCTGTTCCCTTCCCCCAGCTCTACTTTGAAGAATGACACATACTGTTTCCAGCCATCAGTAGTGGAGGCTCCCTGTACACAATGAACTTTACACTCTCATGGTTCATGTACCACCTCTCTCTTTCTCCCCGGTGTTGTACTCTGCACGCACGCGCGCGCACACACACACACACACACACACCTTAGCAATGTTACATTCAGACATGGTGTGTTTTATTCTCTCCCCCATCATTGTTCTCTCTGGAGTACACAGACTCTGGCTGAGAAGGTTGTGCTCCACCCGCACTGGTAGAACATGGAGTACACACACTCAGGCCAGCACTCCACTAGAACCATATCCCAAGCAGATACAAGAAACTGAGAGGGCATTGGGGGGAATTGATCAAAACTGGACCAGAGAGAATTTGGACAGGTTGCCCAGGGCAACCAATCAGCTTCTCTTTTTAGTTTGTTCAGTTAAGATTTCAAAACGAAAGAGAGAAGCTGATTGCCAGTCATGGACAGCAGGTCCAGATTCTGTCCACTCCAGTTTTGATGAATTCTGCCCTGTGTTTTTATGGCAATCTAAATTATTTATTACCTACCATAAGTATTATAAGTCTTGACCTCTTACTCTGAACTCCGGGGAAAAATAATCTTAACCCTGGTAGTGTGGCTAATCCCGCACTGCAACGGTCAGGTGCTCATTTTCGTTAGCATGCATGCTAACCTCTATGTGCCCAGGTCATGTGCGTTAACCACCCAGTTTTAAGCGTATGCGTGTTAACCCCTCAGCCCTCACTACTCTGCCCAAAGTCATTAGTGCATGTACCTTAACTCCTCAGCACCCAGCAAATGTGCATTAGTTTACCAACTGCCAAGAAGTGTGCATTAACCCCTCAGTGCCAGTTCCATGGACATGTGCATTAACCCTTCAATGCCCAGGCCTTGTTGCATACACATTAACCCCTTAGTACCCATTATGTAGTGCATACACACTAACCCCTCTGCACCCAGTCCCTAGAGCATATACATTAACCCCACAGCTCTTGGTCCCCAATATATTTTCTGCTTTTAGTACTCATCGCATTTTCCATAACTACGTAGTGCCCAGTCCCCAGCACATGTGAATTAACCCCTAAACATCCAATTCTCAGAGCATCCGTATCAACTCCTTAGTGCCCCATGCACAGTATCACCCTCAGCACTCAGCCTGCAGTGCATGCACAATACCTCTTAGCACCTAGTCCCCAGCACGTTTATATTATCCCCTCAGCACCCATTCCCCAGGCCATATGTGTTATCTACTCTGCAGTCTAGCCGTCAGCATACATGCTTTAACCTCAGTGCCCAGTCCCTAGCAGATGTGTTTACCCCTCATATGATTTAACTGTTCATTGCCGAGTTTATAAGCACTAACTCCTAAATGTCATGACTTTAGAGCATGTGCCTGAACTCCCAGTGTGTGTGTGCGCGCATTACCCCTCAGCACCCATTCTTTATTGCATGGCATTAACCTCCATTAACGCCGCACTGCATGCGCATTAACCTCTCAGAACCTAGTGCCATGAAAAACTTCTCAGTGACCCGCCCGACTTCATACCGGGTAACTCTTCAGCGCTCAGTGACCAGGTCCTATGTAATAATCCCTCAGCGTCCAGTCCCCAGTGCATGTGACTTTATTCCTCAGTGCAGTGCCCACACCACATGCACATTGACTCCTTAATGTCCTTAGTCTAGCTTATGTGCGTAAAATCATAAACATCCAGTTCCCAGGTCAAGTGTGCCAACCCCTTGGTGCCCAATACCCAACATGTGTGTGTAAACCTCTCAGTGCCCATTTCTTAGCTGCTGTGCATTAAGCCCCCAACACCCAGTCCCCAGGTAACAAGTATGAGCTCCTCATTGTACAGTTACCATTGCACATATTTTAAACCACACAGTCCCCAGACCATGTAAGTTAATCTCTCACTACCAAGTCTCCTAATCATGTGCATTAACTCCTCAGCATTCAGTCCCCAGCTCATATGAATTAATCTCCTCTGTATAAACCCCTTATCACCAGGGACATGTACAATAGCACCTCTTTACCCAGTTCCCAGTGTGCACTATTCCATCAGCGCCCCTTGTGGGTTAACCCCTCAGCAACCAGCACATAAGCATTAGCCCCTTAGTGTCAACCCCAACTAGCATGTGCATTAACCCCTTTGCACCCAGTCTAATTCCCAGCCCATATGCCTTAACTCCTCTGTGTTCAGTCCTTAACATGTGTGCCTTAACACCTCAATGACCACTCCCAAGTCCCATGTTAATTAAATCCTTAGTGCCCCATTCTCAGTGCATGGTGCATTAACCCCACAGCACCCCATTAGAGTGGGGTGCTGCACCACGTGAGTGTTAACCTTTTAGTGCCAAGATCCCAGAATTTGTGCATTAACCCCCCAGTGCCCAATCCACAAGGCATGTTCATTAACTTAGCACAACCCCATTGCATGTACGTAGAGTGGAGTATAAGGATATTCCATGTCCATGTGTCAGAAATTTCCTAGCCCCTATATACACAGAATACAAATGAAATGTTATATATGAAACATTACCCAAAATTGCAACAATCAGTGACATGCACCCTCTCCAAAGATTACCCCGTTCATGAAGGGAAATACATTTGCAAATATATATATATATATA